GGGGGGTAGTGGGGGTATGGTACTTGGGCTGTAAGAATGGTGAAATGTCAAGTGAAGTGAATTGGTATGTCATTTGATATTTAAATCAAAATTTACTATTTAAAAATTACATATAAATTTTTTCTATAAAGTTCACTATTTTTCTAAACAGATGGAGTAATATCTCATGATTAAAAAAACAGCAACTACACTACTCTAACTCATTTTACCGTTTGAACATACCTGAGCATTATCAAATGTCAATGCTGGGTAAAAACTTATGTTGTTTACCCTACCACTATCTTAATTTACCAGGTTAAATGAAGTGAGAATGTGTAATAATTAGATATACTTTTGTGATAATATCGATGAAAACAGAGTAAATTTTATGGGTGGTTATTCATCACGCAAAAGTCATTTTCTTCTTTTTGTTTTGTAAAAATCATTTAACTTTGTCTTCATTACCCAAAAGTCACTTTCTTTCTTTTGTTACACAAAAATTATTTTACTTTGCTCTATTTATCACAAAAGTCACCTTGACCAAATTTTATAATACTTTTACTTGAAAAGTTTATTATGTCCTTGACATTAATCCTCTCATTTATCTAATAGCTTCTATATTATATACTATATAATATATTTTTACTGAGGTATTTTAATTATAATTAAAATAAATTTAAATTATTTTATTTATTGTTTTTATAATATATCGATACATTTAATTTTTGCATGGAACTCAATTTGTTTAATCATATTCAAACATGAACATATTTTAAATATAAAAATATTAAAAAAATATTTATTTTAATATCTATCTAACATAATAAAAACAGATTTAATTTGTTTAACAAATGATAGTTTTTATAGTCAATAAAATTTTTTTAAGAAAAAGTTTCAAACATATTTGTGTTTAATATTAAATTTTTTAAAGCTTCATCCGTTAATATTATTAAAAGTATTAATCGGATGCGTTATTTTGCTAAATATGTGTATTTTATTTATTAAATTAATGGGTATGGCTTGGTTGGTAAATCAATGAGCTTTGATTTTTTAAACATATTTCATTAAGCATGATTAAGAACGTGGACTTGAGATTTGCTCACGGTAATGTTATTGACAAATTTAATAATGCTACTTATATATCTTGAAAATTAATATTAAGAAGAAATTAAATGTACGAATATATTACATAAATGGGAGGATTTATTATGTCAAGGGCAAAATAGACTTTTCAGGTGAAAGGCTTGTAAAATATGGTCAAAGTGAATATTGTGATAACTAAAGCATAGTAAAATGATTTTTGTGTGACAAAAGAATGAAAAGTGATTTTTGGGTAATAAACACATTTAAATTACTTTTATGTAACAAAAGAAAGAAAATAACTTTTGGGTAATGAACACAAAGTTGAATGACCACCCATGAAATTTACTCATGAAAACATATTTTATATATTTATTGAGTTAATATAGATTATAGTCATATAGACATTGAGCGTGAGTAATTTTTTCAGAATTACCTGATAGCGATATACTTTTTTCCTTTTTTGGTACGGAATATTTGATCTCATATATAACTGATAGTGATTTAGAGCCCGTTTGGATGAGTTTGTTCTAAGTGACTTTTAAGTCAAAAGTCATAAATTAGGAATTTTAGCTTTTGACTTATTTTTGTCATTTTAACTTAAAAACAAGTGCTTAAAAAACACTTTTTTACTTTATCCAAACGCTACAAAATAGCTTAAAAGTTATTTTGGCTTAAAAATACTTAAAATAAGTCAATCCAAACGGGCTCCTACTAAGTTCTTTTAACTTTCAAGTATTCACGAAGCAAAAGGAATACTCTCTCCGGTTCACAATAATTGACCAATTTGCTTTTAGCACGCCCATTAAGAAAATACAAAATTTTATACAAAAATACCTACTATGACTAAACTACCCTTAATTAGACATTTAATATGAGGAGTAAGAAAACTTTTTAGGGATATGTACATGGGGGTTATTTTGTAAAAACAAATTGAATTCTTTTTTGATTACATAACTGGATATTTATTTTGAACCAAAATGAAAAAACAAATTGGTCACTTATTGTGAAACGGAGGGAGTAACGAACTAATCCGTCAAATAGTAGGTAGCCTTAATCAATCTTAACATAATTCCCTTTCCTTTTTGGTTTGTTTGAAACATTAGTAACGAGCTTCTCATCTTTTTTCTGAAACAGAGTGAACCTTTTTGCTCGAAACTCTGTTTGAACGTTAGTAGCCAAAAAAAAAAAAAAAAAGAGTTGATAAATGCCCCTTTTTAAAAGTTTTAAGAGAAAATTATGCTAAATACCTATCCAGATCAAACTTATTATTCATTTCACTCATATTACATTTTCTTTTAATTTTACCTATTTGGCCTAAAATAATTACCCCTACCTAAATCCTAGGCAAGTGCATAAATAACCATTTTCAGAGATGCTATTTAAGATTAGCTAGTAGTTATTTTGTCCTGAAATTTTAAACTAAAATAACTTCAGGACATTTTTGTCCCGAAAAATTAAACTGAAAAACTAATATTCAAGATGCACTGGCTAATTCCTAAATAACAGCCTTTTAGAGGAGCTATCAGGTGTCATTTCTACCCTAAATCCCTCGCCTCTTATCCCAGAACTATGTGATCCTTACACAAATAGCCGGTCATATTCATTATTTACTTTTTCTAGTCATATACATAAATTATATACAATTATATATATATAATACATAAATTATAC